TATTACCATTATCTTTTAAGAAATCGTTATAATCGAGGACTGATTTCAGAACAAGATCTGTTTACTCTCTTTGCAAGAGATCTTGCTCAGATGATCAGAGTACGAAGCCACCTTTATTTACAGCTTAACAAAGTAACATGTTAATTGATGGTTCTTATCGTCCACAACAACTACTTTATGGGTTGATTAATTCTGATAGCGAAAATAAAAATACAGATTCCAACTGACCGATTAAACACCACTCTGTATTTGGACTCCATTTCTTCAGGATTGAAATCCAACAGTAGCAAGTTAGTAAAAGAGATCTCGCGTAAGTCCACATGGTTTGGCATGATACCAACGGGTTTGCTCGTTTCAGCCATGATTCTGCCATACACCTCATACAGTGAAATGAAAGAAGACCAAAGAAGATTAGAATTATCTACTCAAACTAGAAAACCGACAAAAATATTTGGTCGATTCGCGCCACAAAACTGAAGTAATATTCTCCAGTCCCCAACCTCACCCTCGTTAGGCTGTTTCGCCAGGAGCCTAGAAACGACTATTCAAAATGGCTGCTCCAATGTTGCATAATCTTGTTTCGTCTTTTTCTCGTGGAATCATCAGAAAAATGACTTGTAAAGGAATTCTTACCAATAATAGTATGTTGCCAAGATTCTTTGGATTTCATTCGTCGCGATTTTTTAGTGATGACGTAAAAGACACCGAAAAGGGTGTAGATTCGCAAGTCCATGAGATTGACAACCACCAGAAGATCGAAGGTTCGACTGATAAAGATCCTTATGCTCCGTTTCCAGACGATATCAACCCTGTTACTGGGGAAAGGGGAGGACCAAAAGGACCAGAACCAACCAGATATGGAGACTGGGAGAGAAAGGGACGTTGCATAGACTTCTAATGTTTGATTTCTTGACAAAATGGCTGCTGTGGAATTAATTCTGTTGTCAAACTTTTGGTCAAACTGGGCGAAGTGTGGAACGCAACATTATATTTACTGGCTGTTCTTAGAAACACGATCCAGATTTTTTTACTGTATCATACGATAAAGCAGGTCCGAAATGTTACTTTTCCTCATTTGGACGTGATGCGTCGACCTGTTTTTGAATTTAAGAAAGTCAATTTCGGACGAATTTGACTGTGATCGTGATCACCGTGACGATACAAATTACTTATGCTGCCGATTAAAGTTAATGATAAGTAAGAGCTGTACTTGTTCATATGCTGAGGCGGTGGCCGGTAAGGTCCTTTTTAGGAACAAATTGTTTGTGTTATTGTGAGTCAAAACCTGATACGCCGACAGGAGGAAGGTATCCCTCGGCTGATATAGGAGACAATATCATATATGGTCATTCTGAATAGAGCTTGTGATTTTTGATATAATGACAACTTAAATAATGATTTTGTTAGAATGTTTACTTCGGATTGAACTCTATTCTATTCATTTTAACTCGTGAATTGCGCGCATGCGCAAGAGCGAGTTGTAGATTTTTTTCGATTTTAGGCTTTTGAGTGCATTTGATACTTTTTTGGCGAACAATAAACAAACGAAATGGCGACCTTTGTTGCTAAGAATAGTGGTGGGGTGAAAAAGAAGCAGATGATAATCTTAAAAGAGTTTTTTATTTTCGTTTTAGTTTCAACAAGCGGCGCCAGCGACTGGCAAGCATGTAAGGATTCACACCGAAATATCAGAACAACCTTCGTTTTTCATAAAATTGTAATTTACAATCCTTGAACTTGAAAACAATCCGAAGATTCATTGAAAATATCACTTATTGCGAAGCGCTCGGAGTTTACATATGTTCAAAAGCTTTTTCTGTTATGGCGTGAGATTGAGGACAAAATCGATCATTACGTTTCGTATCGTGTGTTTTTTCTGTGTGAAGCAACAAAAGACGCCGGCGACTAACGAAATTACAAGTTAACACGAAAATCAAATGACACCTAAACAATCTTAGCTACCGGTTTTCAGTGAATTTTTAAAGAACAATTTTCTTTTAAGTTTCAAGACAATGTGAAGACTCAAATTAAATATTATGTACTAAAATGCGAAAGTTATACATCACAAAATTGATAAATAGGCCTGAAATGAAATTCTCTCTTGTTCTTGATTATACGTTGCCTAGCACGTGACTAAAATCTACCCAGGCGGAGATCCAAAATGACGGTGGCAGCCTTGGCTTATTTACATCACACAAAACTCGTTCCCGTTTGTCTCATTTGATAAAGAGGGAATCGTTAATGTTTTCATTAAGACAGTATTGCCTTGATTTTCTAATATTTACAATGATAGACAGTAAATTTCACTTTTCACCCACATTTACTGCCAACCTTTTCTTTTGAACCAGAAACAAAAGTGATATACGTTTAAAACACATGACATCATCCACCCTTGTCAAATGTAATAGCATGATCATTTCATTTGTAATGCCTTCTTATCCCAACGTTACTTTGTTTCTTTGCTACATTAGCGAACACTGAACTACTGCTCGTACTCTAGATATGACAATCAACCACAAAGTTCCCTAAACCAGATAACAAACATAATCCAAAAAATAATGTGTCAATTCACGAGTTTGCTCACAAAGCACTTTGATTGCTGTTTTCAATAGCCTGAACATGTTCATATAGTGATCTTTAGAATCTACACTTCTTGCTGAGACGTCATCGACACACCCTGTGATTCCTTTTACCCCTTGCATGACAGAATTCAGCCTCTCTTCAAAGACATCTGAACTGACTTTCAAGGCAAATGAGAGTCTGAGCCACGGAGAGTATTTCTCCACGGTCTAGGGAGAATACGAAAAAGACTTATTTACCCACTGTTTTGTTACTAGTGAGCTCTCAGAGTCTAACTCCACCATCCAATAGTCCGATTGAGCCTTCGACTACTGTGAAGTACCTTGATCCGTGGAGCTCGGCACTTACATCGTCGTTTGCCTTCGCAGTACTGGTTCTCTTTGATGCTCTTGATGAGGATCTAGACATAGTCGAATTGATCCATCTGGTTTTTCATCTGGCACGATGCTAGTGATTCAATCCGTATGTCCCTCGACTGGCTCAATGATTCCTAAGCTACACCATCTCTCCAGCTCGCCTTTGAAAGCCTTTTCTTTCTCCTCTCCACTACTGCCCTGGGGGAGGGGGGAGGGTGTTGCATGGGTTTAACACCCGGCTCCCTGGTAATTTACTGATGCCTTCGAACACAAAGTTCAATTCCGATAATACGTACTCCTTTGTAATAGGTAGGGAGTGTATCTTGCCATTTAAAAGAACAGCGTCATCCTTTATCTCGGATGTAGGCATTTTTACTCCATCCGAGCGTTTTGGTGTAGAGAATTTACACTCGTATGGGTTGTGGAGCACTGGTTAGAGCTAAAGGTTTTATCATTGGGAAGGCAATGTACCTCAATTTGTCAATAGTTCCTCTGCCTGGGACAAAATATCCTCAAGTATCTGTCACCTGACATGTTTCCATCCAACCATCTGTGGCTGCTTATACTCGTGTGAATAGTAATTGCGCACGCACGAAGATTTACCATCGGTGAGTCATCGTATCCGAAGATGACTCGCGTATCGAAGATTTGAACTGGAGTAGCCGAGAATGCGTCATCTTCAAACAACGATTTGTACATGTACAAAGGCATTATATTGCATCCAGTGACTGAGTCGATCTCACATTCAACCTAGTGGATGGGTCTAAGTTCAACCAAAGTGGCTTTACGTGCTTGCTCGAAATATGTGGTGAAACAATAACGGTAGTGTCCTTCTGGCAGTTCCAGTGGTGCTTGGTAGTACTTGTTCTTGCAAGAAATAAACTTGTTACAATGCCGGAATGTGGAGTGCACACAAAGAACGTACCGCTAATGAGCTTGTATTGTGCAATATGTTAACGGAGTCGTTAGGAATAATTATCGTGTGGTATTCGTTCATGCAGTTTAAGATTTATTCATTCAGAGTTTAGTGCAGATGGAAGTAAGTATATTTTGTTTAACAAAGTTCGATGAGATATACAAGTGTTTGGCGGAGTAGCATGAGAACACATGGTGTCAGGAGTTAAAAAATCTTGCCTTCCTATTTTATAGAAACGTTTTTTAGCAACGTGAGAAGGCTGAACGGCGATGGAAGTACCGACAAAGGGACTGGTTCTCCAACGGACTAATGATGGAAAACTACACGAACGTTTCCTAGAGTAGAGGAAAAAGGTATGTGTCCTATGCAAAGGTTTAACGATGACCTAAGTTGATCCAGAATCTATATGCTTGGGTATTTATCAGTGGTCGTGATAAATCAGGGCTTGGTTAAATTTTTCTTGACAAAGCAACATAATGTGAAGTGGGAAAAGTTTTAAGGGAAACTGGAGGAACTTTGCAGACCTAGAGGAAGTAGACTCGTCGCGGCCACTCAGTACGAGGTTTTGACGCAAGGAAACATGGAGTTACTGGAATACATTGAAAAATGTAGAGAAGTCAAGGAAACGGGTGGATGGCCAGAAGAAGAGAAAAACATGGCGCTCAGAAATGAAATTCTCGTTGGGCTCAAAACTCCGCTGGGGTATCAAAAGGGTTTAGGAGAACACCAGAATATGCTGGCGACAGAGCGGGTCATTACGATGGCCCACAAGGGACTCGCTGCAAAGAAAAAGAAACGCTGCAAACAAAAAACAATCGCTGCAAACAAAAAAGTGAACGCTGCAAACAAAAAAGTGAATGCTGCAAACAAAAAAGTGATCGCTGCAAATAAAAAAAAGTGATTGCTGCAAATAAAAAAGTGAATGCTGCAAACAAAAAAGTGAACGCTGCAAACAAAAAAGTGAACGCTGCAAACAAAAAAGTGAACGCTGCAAACAAAAAAGTGAACGCTGCAAACAAAAAAGTGAACGCTGCAAACAAAAAATTTAAAAAAGGTTGCGTGCGCACTTTCACGGACCCCGCGATTCCATTGGTCAGCAAGACATTTCCCGCGCATTTTCTCCTTTACTCCTTTCGCCAATTCATGTCAGAAGAAGAAGGCATGTTTTGTGCGGGTTGTGGTGCCAGATTTATCGCTGATGCGAGATTTTGCGAAGTTTGCGGGTTAACGAAAGGTGTGAAAGATGAAGATAACACTATACTTACGTTTGACGAGTACAGAGATAAAAAAAGGAAAGAACGAAGTTCGAGGTTTGTTAGTAAATCTGTGAAGAAAGTGAAAAAGGAAAACAGCGAGAATGAAGTCACGATACAAATAGGTCTTATCAGGTTAAAAGACGGACAATTGAAAGCGATTAGAGGGTCGTCATTGCCGCTTAAAGTCTTTCCATCAATTGGTGCGGAGGAACTTCTCAGGAAAGGAGCCGAAAAGATGGTGAAGTTCAACAGCGACTTAAGCTTATATGGTGCCAGTAGTTTTACGTTGTTGTATCCTGACAGAACCGAAGTGAAGTGCCTTCCAGGGGGAACGGAACCGTTTACACTACAACGATACAAGGAGGAATTAGGGAAGGCTTACGGCCGAATTACCTTATACCTCTGCAAAACAACAGCTATCATGGATGCTTTGTTTTTGAAATCGTATTACAGTGATGAAAGTGATGTCAGTTTGCCAACTTACGAAGAGGTATGAAGATTTTAATTACTACCATAGATTACAGTGTTATTTTTCGTAACGAAAAAGCCCTACGTGGAAATAAATTGATCTAAATCTTGATTGATATACATACTGTAGTTCAAATTTTCCTTGGTTTGACGTATTTCAGATTGGTTTGATTTTTATTTTTCTTTGATTCAGATTATGGTAATATGCTTATTAGCTCATTCAAGAATCAATTCCCTTTCATTCTTCTCAGTGAGTGAGGGGTTAAAGATTCGTTTGATTTGACTGTAGTGATGATGATTAATGATTCAGTTTTCATATTCACATTACAGTTGACGAAAATGGCACAAGGAACTGAAAGTGAAGGAGATATAGGCTGTAGGCTGAACCATACTGTCACAAATACATCCACATTCCTCACAGCAACAGGGAACACAATTACTACCCCCTCAGTGGCAAGGAACACTGCAGTTACAACCCACACAGCAACAAGGAACACAGTTACAACCCATACAGCTACAAGTAGCACACTCATAACCCAGACAGCTGCAAGCAACATATCCACAGCCCAGACAGCTGCAAACTCAGATACATTAACTCAAGGGGTTCACTCAGCAGTCACAGGTCAGTGAAAATCTGCTTTTGTAAGTTTTCTCTGAATTGTGTACCCATGCGATATTCTTATTAATTTAAAAAGTCATATTAAATGCAATAAAAGCTTGTGCATGTTCAGTCAAGAAATACAGAGACACCTGTATAGAATGGTAGACAACATGATACAAGAAGAACATTGCTAAAATCAGTTTTTAAATGTACATTATGCAGCAGTTATTTATTCATAAATTGATTGATTTTTTGATAGGTGCAGATGCTGTAGATGTTGAAGCTCTTTTAACAGAGGGTCCTGTTCAAAAGATAATTCTGTATAGGGCTTTACTTAAGGATAATTTGATCGAAACCTTTAAGGATCCTACAATACTTCATGTTAATCTAGATGTGACCTTTATTGGCAGCAATGGTAGGGAGGAAGAGGGAAAGGGGGCTGGTGTTTTACGTGATGCATTATCCACTTTCTGGAATCAATTCTTTAACTCACTAACAGTAGGAGCTCAAGAAAAAGTGCCTGCTATCAGACATGATTATCAAAGAGCTGAATGGCAAGCAATTGCCAGAATTCTAATGTATGGGTACATAAAGGAGAGATATTTTCCTCTTCCATTGTCACGAGCTTTTGTTGCATTATGCCTTTTTGGTGAAGAGAGCATAACAAGTGATTTTTTGCTTTCTTCCTTCCATCTATACATTTCAGAAGATGAAAGGGAGACTCTTGAGAAATGTCTTAAGGAAAGTTTTGATGATGATAATGATGACGTGTTTGATTTTCTTTCTAATTACAAGTGTTATCGAACTCCCACAAAAGAAAACATATTGCAGATTGTTTCTGAACTTGCTCACCAGGAAATCATTCAGAAGCCTCGATATGTCACAAATTGCTGGGCACCTATTTTGAAACCTTTGATTGCTTTCCCAGATTTCCAATCTCTTGTAACTCTAGAGAATCTTTATGACATTAAGAGGCCTACTGCCAAAAAGATTGTGAAATTAATCAAATCAGAGCCAGTAACTGACCAAGAACGACAGTGCCTGGACCATTTTAAAAAATATATCCGTTCATTACAGGGAAGTTTGTTGTCAGTGTTCCTGCAGTTTATTACTGGAAGTGATATCATAAGCTGTGATAGCATTGAGGTGACATTTTCGGCTCTTGAGGGCACCTCTCGTAGACCTGTAGCACATACATGTGGACCACTACTAGAAATCCCATCATCATACCAGTCATACAATGAGCTGTCAGAAGAATTCAGTGAATTACTGCAAAATAAAGAGGCATGGCATTTCAATATTGTTTAATGACATTGTGCAGTGATCAAATTTTTGAGTGTTTTTAACCCTTTAACTTCCATTAGTGATCAAGACAGAATTTATCTTTACAGTATCAATACAATGTCAACCAGATAAGTGTTGAGAATAAAGAAAAATATCAATTTGGGGATAATAAGTTGATCCAATACTAACTTCTCTGAACTAGCATTATAAGAATTGTATAGTTGACATTTAGGAGAATTACAAATTTGATCTATGAGTTAAAGGGTTAAAAGGTTTGAAATTTTGTATGTTGAGTTAGACTTTACCTTAAATGGCTCTTAGAACTAAAGAATTTTAAAATAATGTACAATGTTGACTACATATAAAAATATATCAAGGAAAACAATTTTTTGTTAAAATTCTTGTCAATTTGTTAAAACAATATTACTCACACATTTTTGATCAATTTGAGTTTAGTTATCTTGGTGGTGTTGTTGTTTTGTGATAAGGTCAATCAGAAAAATAGGTGATTGGGTGTGGACAGAAAAACAGCAAAGGGTTTCCCATTCTTTGTCATGTGAAGACAGTGTTATAAAAATTGGTAGAAAAACCAGTGACAATTCATGTTTATATTTCAGCCATTCTGGGACATGTTGATTTCTGTCAAGGAAGCCTTTCCACTGTCCATATCTCAATAATCCCTTGGAATGCAAACTGACTGCTGTCCTTTCCCATTGTTTGTGGCTCTAGAAAATGTGATCTATAGAACAATATTGATAACCACAAATTTCAAGTAATGTTTATTTATTCATATGTGCAGATCAAAGCTTTTACATGCCAAAATGTTACACCTTGGTAGTATTGATTGTTAATACTGTAATAAAATTATCAAATTGAATGTAATTTTCAGACTTTGGATGGTGGCCTTAACATGCATGCTAACTGTTGTGTTGATGAAACATTAAAAAAGTTATGCCAATTTTACAACGTCATCTTTAGTTATTTGATTCAATAGACTGATCAGTGACAAGCCTTTGAATATCACATTCAATTCACACAGGAATTGCTTCGCTGTAGAAGAAATGTCCCAAGTCATTAATTTTTTTTCAGTTAATCATTCTGCAATTCTGTTATGTGTTGATATAATCTTATGGCCTCTCTTGGTGTACTAGGGTAAACCCAGCCTTTAGTTTCCAAAATATATTCAAAGTATTCAAGGTAGATATTGTCTTCCCTCTCACTCTGGCAATGTACATCCATATCCTCTACTAGTTGTTCTGGCACAGAAACTAGACATTCTTCATGTCTATGATATTCTGGTAGGAAGTACATAACATCTGGTACCCCATGAACAGAACTATACGGAGACTTGGAAATCTTGTGACTATTCCAATGATCTTTCACTTTGTCCAAGTCATCCTGAAGAAGCTTTGAAAAACAGAACCACAAGCACTCCATATGAAGAGTGTTTCCCACACAAAGCAATCCATAATCAACCATGTCCTTGAAAAGGCTTATCCACCAGTTTGATCTATTTCGCCTGAAAAAGGACCACCACCCTTCAATTCGTTGATTTGCAGGTGATGAGCAGTACCTATGAGACTTCACACCTGCCAGTTCATCTTGATCATTGGTACGAAACATGCACTGAATAGAAGCTGCAATACCGTTTTCTGAGCCACAATCAGTCACCAGGAGCAAAGGGCAACCACCTAGTTCCTTTACTTGTTTTAAGTAGAAGGCTGCAACTACTTTAGGGTCATTGTTAGACCGGGTTACTTCTAACCATAAAATTCTTCTACTGAAGCCATCCACTGCACCATGAATAGGGAAACCATAAGGTTTTAGTTTGTCATATCCTAAAAAAGATAAAATTTGTAAATTAGAAATCTAAGTAGATAAGTCGTCTAACCAACTAATCTTGAAGTGGAAAGGGCATGAGGCTAGATGCAAGATTTTACATTCCTACATGTACATTTACAATACACCACTATGATTTACGAAGTAAAAAACAAATACCGTCTAAATGCCACGATGCATTGGCTCCTTTTGAGCTGAACGTTCTTCTCTTTAACCTTCGAGATCTCCTCTCCTCTACCCCATCAGGATCAATTTCCTTCATTATTTTTGCGACCAAATTACGTGGAACATGAACATGGTGCCGCAATCGCAGGGCGTGCCAAATACTTCTGTAACCTGATAAACTTCCGGGGCCTTCCATTTCTTCACGAATGACATTTCTTATCTCTGAATCGTCCATTATCTTTGCATTGCCCTTCCTTTTTAACCCGAGACATCTCAGACGTCTCTTCAGTGTTCGCACACACATTTGAAGTCCTTCTCGTTTCTTGAGAAGACCCACAATAGCGTCATAAGGATAGCCACGATGAAAATAGCGCTTTATCACTTCGTTTACATCTTTTTCTGTCACACAATTATCGCAGATACTCTCTTGAGCATCCCCAATGCCACAATGGCTACAAAACATTACGAATACTCTTTGATTAGTTTTTCAACGAGAACGGACGTTTGAAAAATGGAGGGAAATACTCGTAGGCTCTGGAGACGAGCAAAACTCTATCCAGTCCCTCGGGCATAATGCGCACGCATGATCTGTTCTTTTTTGTTTGCAGCGATCACTTTTTTGTTTGCAGCGTTCACTTTTTGTTTGCAGCATTCACTTTTTTGTTTGCAGTGATCACTTTTTTGTTTGCAGCGTTCACTTTTTTGTTTGCAGCGATTGTTTTTTGTTTGCAGCGTTTCTTTTTCTTTGCAGCGAGTCCCTTGTGGGCCATCGTAGGTCATTGAGATTGCTACGGACATCTATAACAGTGATTGTCAGAAATCAATTGAGCAAACTCTGAGTACAGTTTCCACAGAAGTCGCGGCCATACAGCAACGATCAAGTGAAGTTCAGAAGCTGCACGCAAACCAACAAGACGACAAGGAAACTGTTAAAGGACAAGACAGAGAAGGAAGATACTTCGAGAAGAAAGGAAGAAAGGAACAGGGAAGAAGTGAGCGACAAAATTGTTTAGTCGCGGAGCTAAACCTGCCCATCCCACACCTGAGTGTCCAGCCAGAGAAGTCGTATGTCAAAAGTGTGGAAAAAAAGGGCATTACCAGAAGTGTTGCAAATCCAAGCACAAACCAACTCAAGTTCATTGGCAGCAAATTCTTTGTGTGCATTCTACATTCCGGTGCTGCTTTGCCTTAACCATATCCGCTAGAAACAAGATCAGTGAAACCACCAGTTAAAGATGACGCTGACACACATGTATCATGGACTCATCGTAAGTGCAGATTCAGCAGGTCGAGTCAGCGAAAAGCAAGTGGTGTGAGCGGCCTAGTGCAGAACCCCATGAGACCTCTCGGAAACGGAGTTATTCACCTCTCCCAAGAGTAAGACATCCATCTACTTTGGCTGCTATTGTACTGGCATACTAAAATCAACTCGAGATATCGTGGTTGTGACGCTACCGACCCCTGAGGCCATTTGTAAGTCGATTTCCCTGCTTTCTCTGTTCTGACTCGTTAAAGGAAAGAAACTTTCGTAGATTTTGTCTTTGAAATGTTGTAGAATTTTAAATCTTCAAAAAGCGTAGAGAGCCTGGTATGGAAAGGTGGCGATGTAAATTTGAAGCCCAGCCTTACTCAAAGGTCATTTGAACGAGTGATCATGACCATATTTGGTGCAATGATGGAAAAGTGGATTGAAGGAAGATCCTTAATCACCTCACGCTATGTGATTATAGCAATATATGAATCCTCGACCAATCATGTCTATAATCACCGCAGCAATTATACTTAAGTTACATAATGGATATATTTTGCTGTTAATTATAGAAACTCATACAAACAAATGCCTCTCAAAATCACGTTATAATGATTCCCAGAATATCAAAAATTTAATTCTCAGTAAAGGTCACTCAATACCATACTTCAATCTAAAAATTATTTTTAGTGTATCTAGAAATTTAAATCTACTCGGTTTTGGCCCTTTTTTCCCCTAAAATCTACACACCTATATCATTCACCAATAAGTTTAACCTTTTTGTGGTCATGTGTGTGTGAGGTCATGGGACATTTTAGTTGATTTATAAACAAAACAGTATACTGATATTACTCTTTTTACTCTGTTGCTGATTTGATGGGAAATTTGTTATACTCAAGAGAATATGTCAAGGGAACATGCCTGTAAATTACTGTACCCTATTTCTCTGAGAAAAGAAAATAATATCTTGGCTCGATATGGTGTAAAATATCCCTTCCAATAGATTTAAAGTTTGTCTCATCAGAATAATTATTATGTACCTTTTTGTTTCTTAATTATCAGAGTGTTACAAAATACTAGTTTTAAATATTAGAATTATGTTTACCACTCTATGTTTTGGGATATTCTGCCATACAATCAATCTGCCATTCTGTCATTCTACAGAATAGGGTCACCTATTTCCCATGAACTGTCTTACAACTGGTCTTTGTTAAGTGATGTTACTCTAAGTTGCCCCTTCTTGACTGAAAGATAAATTATAACTAAGAAAATACATGAAAAACCTTTCTCTTGGTGCAAAAAACTGGATTAAAGTGGCATAATCAACATGGTCATGTGTACATGCAAGTGGGTGACTGTGGAAGTAGTTGGAAAATGGGGCTTCATGCTTGTAAACACCATTTAGAGACACAATTTTGAGACAGTTTCAATAGCGTATTTCTGGCTCATTTTGATAGCTTATTTTTGGCTCATCAGCTCATTGACTCAACTTTGGTGAATTGGAAAAAAATGGTCATATTTTTGTATCAAAGTAAAGTGGAGAAGATGACAGTAGTTGAATTAAACATGGAAGTGAATTGTAGTGGACACAGAGGTTACCCAAAACTTAAGCTCATCACAAACACAACAGAGGTCCAGAAAAAACAATACTTTTAAAAAGAATGACACAAGCTAAGCCTCTCTGAAGAGTTCATGGAAAAAACTAAACCTAAAGTCTTAAAGAATTAGGAGAGAAAAATGTATGAGGAAAGTCAAGACGATTCTCACATTCGAGATGCTGAGAGAAAACGAGGTTAGATCACTCCGGTTAAATTTTCTGTATTTCTTAACTGAAGTGGAAGGTAATCTTCAGGCAACTGATGAAGAAGCCATCAATATTTACAAGGAAACACTCAGAGAGAAACTACAGAACTTCAATAAAAATAAACGAATTTGGAGGTTTGAGAAAGTTATATCACTAGATATACATTTCACAGTGTATGATCCACTGAGAGGTTCATCTTACATTGAACTCCCAAAATCTTTTCAAAGGAAGAAGGCAATTGTAAACATAAAAAATGAAGATGATGACTACTTCAAGTGGTGCATCACAAGAGCTCTTGGCAATTTACCCTGAGTTTGAATCATTCACAAAACTGATTGACATCTAGAAGCTGAGGAGTGAGGAGAGCCTCGCCAATAAATATCAGAGGCATAAACCATATGATGTCTATCATCACATCTGCTTCACTGATAATATACATAAACAAGATCCTGTCATTTACATAGCAAGAGTGAAGATGATGATGTTGCTCAGATCTTTGATGAAATGGTTGAAGATAATATCTATAAGATTTATAGAGAATTCAATTTGAAAGGACATGATCTTCACAGATAAAGATAGGTGTGATTTTAACATGGCAAAACGCTGTTGGATCTGCAAGATAAATTTAAAGATGATGATGGCAAAGTAAGAGGTCATTTTAATTTCACAGGAAAGTGTCCTGGAGCAGCTCACAACAAATGCAACCTAAAATTTGAGAAGCTAGAGTTCACTCCTATCATCTGTCACAAACTGGCTGAATATGATTCTCATCTTTTCAAGAATCTTGCCAAGAGTTAAGGAAACGTCAAATGCACTTCAAACAATGAGGAAAAATACATCAGCTTCAGCAAAGACATGCTATTTGACATGTGCACTATGAAAGAAGGGAAACTGGTAACAGTCTAGAATGAGGTTCGCTTTATCAACAGCTTCAAGTTCATGGCTTCTTAACTTGACAGATTGGTTGGTAATTTGACAGATTGTGGAAAATGCAAGGCATGTAGACATGGGAAATATATCAAGAAATATGTCAATGACGATGGTAAAATGGTTCAATAGAAAGAATTTGGATTATGTTGTAAGTGTTTGAACTGTGAATTGATACGTAAGTCATGTCAAAAACCTGTCAATACTCATTTTCACTTGACAGAGAAATATTACAGAAATATAGCTTTACTCTCCAGGAAAGATTTGTATCCACATGACTACGTGGATAACATCACTAAGTTCAAAGAAACAGCTGTCACTGAAGGAAAAGTTCCACTCCAAGCTTGATGACTGTGATAGATCAGATGAAGATTATGAGCATGCACAAAAAGTCATGTTTTCTTTTTTCTTAACCTGTCGGTAACCTATTGGTTAGCTTTCGGTAGACTGTCGGTAACCTGTTGGTCAACTGTCGGCCAACAGGTTTTTTGGGAGCTCTTCTTCACAATTACCATCTATGAAAGGCTATTCTTGTCAATGTATTACACATGCTGGATGTTGTATCAAGCGAAAACCGAGAGAAAACATTAAGGTTTGTGTTAACGTTTTACCAACAAGCTACCGACAGGTTACCGACATATTACCAACAGTCGGCCGACAGGTAGCCTATATTTCGGGCAAACCCTATCGGCCGTCTGTCGGCCGACAGACAACCGACTGTCGGCTGACTGTCGGCCGACAGTTGACCGACAGTCGGCCAACAGGTTTTTTGGGGAGCTCTTCTTCACAATTACCAAAAGAGTTTGACATAAAGACTTTAGGTGATTATCATGACTTTATCTCAAATCAGACGTTCTCCTACTGATAGAAGTATTTGAAGAGTTCAAAACGTGTCACAAGACACAAGAATTATAAACTTGACCCTGCATGGTATTACACTCCTCCTGGATTGTCTTGGGATGCAGCATTGAAGGTGACACATCAAGGTCTCTATTCACTCGCTGATCATGACATGCTGCTGATGATTGAGAAAGGAATTAGGGGAGGTGTTTCAATGATCTCAGATTGGTATGGAAAAGCAAATAGTCCATATATGGGTGAAGATCAAGATCCAAGAAAGCCAACAAAATTAATTCATCGCTTATCTTGACATGAATAATTTGTAAGCATGGGCAATGTCTGGAGATCAATGCCTTGCATCTTCAATGTGGACCTTGAATATTCCAAAGAGCTTCATGATAATCATAACAACTGTCCACTTGCCCCTCAAAGGTTGATGATCAATAGGGTTGAAAGGCTTATCATAAATCTGTATGATAAGGAGAGATACATAGTTCATCACAAGAGCCTCAAGTAGTTTCTTGATCTCAGGTTGAAGATCAAAAAGATTCACAGAGGAATATGTTTAAAAGAAAAGCTTTGATTGAAGAAATACATTGAGCTCAACATAAATATCCCTGTACAAAAGTAAAGAATGAATTCAGGAAAGATTTCTCCT